ATGGTCTCCCGCCAACGTTCAACTCCTTCAAATCAACAATACGGAACTCCCTTCAGCCCATTGACCTCGATACCTTTACGCCATGCTTTGCAATGAAGAAATTCATCTTCAGCATGAATTTACTCAAGATTCCATTACCAATGCGTCCGCTACGGCACTCTACGCCTCTATGTCTCGCAATCGCAACAATCCCGCCAAACGTTTCGGAAAGCATAAGCCCCAGCAGTCTGTCTCCGTGACTCCGCTCTCCGCTCCCCCTCCTACCAACTCTCACAACTCTACAAGACCGACTTGTCAAATCTGTGGCAAGACGGGCCACAGTGCGTTGAACTGCTGGCACAGGTGCAATTTGAAATATGCACCCACCGATTCCCGCCCGCCGAGAGCTCTTCTTGCCACTCCGAATTCTGCTACCAACCAAGAATGGGTTCTCGACACTGGCGCTTCTGCCCACCTCACGCCGGAAGCCTCGAACCTCTACTACCCGTCCCCTTATCTAGGAGCTGACGCTGTTTCTACTGTCAACGGTTCGTATGTACCTATTCACAACACCGGTCAAGGTCTGCTTCCTCTCCCGGATACATCTCGTAAGCTCCGTCTAAACAACCTCCTACACGTCCCGTCTCTTACTCATAACCTTCTTTCGGTCTCAAAACTTACTAAAGACAATTCCATTTCTATTACGTTTGATGCTAACGGATTTATCATGAAGGATCTCTGGGACAATCATCCTCTACTTCTTGGACGACTGCATAACGATCTTTCCGCATTAGCATTCCTCCGGACAGCAGCCACACGGCCCTGAACACGGCGACGACTACCCTCACCCCCTGGCACGCTCGTCTTGGCCATCCCAACCAAGATTCTCTTGCGGTTCTTGCCAGAAATTTTCCCGATTTAGCTATTTTAAAACATCTGTTTGTTTGTGATTCTTGTAATAAGGCCAAAAGCAACAAAATAGTTTTCAATAAAAGCAATTCTGTTACTACTAATGCTTTTGATTTAATTCATACTGATATATGGGGTCCAACATCGATTCCGTCCCTTGACGGACATCGCTACTATATTCTTTTCATCGACGATTACACGCGACATTCCTGGCTCTATTTTCTTTCTTCCAGACAAGATGCACTCAAATCATTTCAAAATTACTGTCACATGATTCGCACCCAATTTCATACCACACCAAAAATTCTTCGCTCTGACGGCGCTGGTGAGTACACCAGCCATGCCTTCAAATCTTTTTTGCACACCAATGGTATCCTTCACCAACTTTCTTGTCCTCACACACCTGAACAAAATGGCATATCCGAACGCAAGCATCGTCACATTCTTGATCTTACTCGCGCGCTGCTTCTCGAAGCCGGCCTTCCGCACAAATTCTGGGCGGAAGCCGTTGCTACTGCACATTACTTAATCAACCTTCTTCCTTCCAAAGCCATTTCCAACAGCATTCCCTATCACCGTCTACACGGTCATCTGCCATATCTCACACATCTTCGCACCTTAGGGTGTCTTTGTTACCCCTGGCTTCGTCCTTACGTTCACGACAAGTTCACCCCTCGCTCCCAAGCTTGTGTTTTCATTGGGTACTCTCCTCTCCAGAAAGGGTACAAATGTTTCAATCCTCTCACCGGGAAAACTCACATATCTAGACATGTGGTGTTTCACGAGCATAGTTTTCCTTTCAAACAACATTCTAACCAGGTCACACCCACTGATCCGATCCAGTCCATTTATCTCCCCCCGTCACTCCTTATCCCCACCTCAGCTCAATCTCAGCCCACTCTTCCTTTTTCCATCCATTCCCCAACCTCAACATCCTACCCCGCACATCTCTCCTCGACCCACCACTCCGGCCAACTCTACCCATCATGACATTGCCTCGCCACTCAACATCCCTGCTCCGTCTCACGTCTCGGATAAACCTCCCCCTCACCCCATGCAAACCCGGTCGAAATTGGGTATTCGCAAACCCAAACAAGTTATCAATCTTCTCGTTCATAACACCTCTCCTACCACACCCACTACTTATAATCAGGCCATGAAATCCGAGAACTGGCGTCTCGCCATGCATAAAGAATTTGAAGCTCTCACCAATCAAGCCACCTGGTCTCTCGTTCTAGCTCCGCCGAACAAACCGGTCCTTGGCTGCAAATGGACCTTCAAAACTAAGCTTCTTCCAAACGGGCAGGTGGACCGCTACAAGGCCAGACTAGTCACTCTCGGATACGATCAGAAGTTCGGCATAAACTACACGGAAACCTTCAGTCCTGTCACCAAAATGCAAACCATCCGCTTACTTCTCACCCTCGCGCTCCAACGTCAATGGCCTATGTATCAACTAGACGTCACCAAAGCCTTTCTTCACGGCGATCTCCCGGAAGACATATACATGCGGTAGCCCCCTGGATTCGTCGACCAACAGCAACCGAACGCAGTCTGCAAACTCCACAAATCTTTGTACGGATTAAAACAAGCCCCGCGCCAATGGTTTCAAAAACTCACAAATTTTCTAAAATCTCAAGGGTTTTCCTTCAGCCGGGCCGATCCGTCACTCTTAATTCTGGATACCGCAAATGCTCAAATTTTTATTCTCATATACGTTGATGATTTTTTAGTTACACGTAATAACTCTGTAGCCATTCGCCGGTTGCTTCAACAACTACAGTCCGAATTTGCTCTCAAACAGCTCGGTGACATATCGCTCTACCTTGGCATCCAGGTGATTCAATCCCCCAATGGTTACTTTCTTTCACAAGAACACTACGCAACCAAACTTCTTCATGATGCAGGTTTCGACTCCTGTAAGCTAGCTCCCACACCAGTCATTCCAGACTCCAGCAAACACGACACGAACATGACTCCCTTCTCCGACCCGTCACTCTATCAAAGTCTGGCTGGCTCCTTGCAATATCTCTCGATCACGCGTCCAGATATTGCCTTTGCCACCAACCGAATTTGCCAACATATGCAGCGACCTACGGATCGCGACTACACAGCTCTCAAGCGACTACTCCGATACATTAGCGGGACTCGTACTTATGTCTTGCCGATCACCCGCGGCTCCCTCACTCTACATTCATATTCCGATGCCGATTGGGCCTCGGACTCTACGGATCGCAAATCCATTTCTGGTTTTTGCACCTTCATGGGTCCCAACCTCATATATTGGACAGTCAAGAAACAAGCTACAGTGGCAAAATCGTCTATGGAAGCTGAGTATCGATCACTATCTGCTGCCACTTCAGACGTTCTCTAGCTACGTCGCCATGCCGCTGAACTTCATCTACCGCAGCCAGCTCCAACGGTCATCCACTGCGACAACACCTCGGCCATTGCCATTGCCAAAAATCCGGTCTTCCACTCTCGCACAAAGCACATTGAGATCGATTACCATTTTATTCGGCAACAAATTTCTTCTGGTGACATTCAACTAGTACATATTCCCTCCAAAGATCAAATAGCAGACATCCTTACAAAACCGTTCTCCGCAACACAGTTCAATGAACTGCGAAACAAATTATCCATTCGGCCTCCGAATGCATAATTTGAGGGACGATATTAGAATACATAAATACTTAGTGATACTTCTGTAATTATTTAGTTCTCTGTAAATTTAGTTTCTCTGCCATCTGCTCAGCTATATATTAGTAGCCTTTGTATCTCTGTGGTTGATATAATAATATTCTCTTCTCTTCACCTGATCTTGTTCTTCTTCCTCTCCGGCTCTTCTTGAAGCCGTTTCGTTTCTTCTCATATATCTCTTATTGGAGACAATAATGTCAGGCGAACAATACAATCAGAAAATCGACGTCTAGTGCAATCCAATGAGGTCTGCCAGAAGATCATTGAACTCTCAAAAAAATTATAAAAAAATAAAACTACTAAAAAGTAAAATTTCTCAATTGGAACTGACCAGTAGTTTGTTTTCTCTGAATTTTTCAACTAAAATATCAATCAGTTGAGCATAATTCCCACTCCCTGATTTGACTAGTTTACTCCAGAAAGATAATAGATCTCAATATCAAAAATGTAAGAACGATCGAGAAAATAGTTGCAAGCAATTATGCTAAGCTAAACAAACATCTGCATAAAAAAAAACTTACAACTCGACATAATTTTTTGCTCTACAGGATATTCAGATAATCATTTTTAGTAAAAAAAAAAAGTTAATTTCATGCCCTTTTATCATTTGTTATTGATAGAAAAATCAAATCTTTCTTTAATTAATTGGTGAAATGTAAGACCTCCAACAAAGTCAATAAACTGCAATACTTTTTCCCTTTCTTAATTTCCAAAGAAAGTGACTCTGCAACAGATTCATTGGTGTAGACAAAAACGTTTTTTTTTTATCAGAAATATTTTATTCATGCTTAAAAATTTCTCTCCCTCCAATGTCTTCTAGTATGACTTTATAGCTTAAGAGAAATCAAAGCATCTGCCATTCAAGTTAGAATATTATACAGTCACTCCATTGTAATTTACTCTTGGGTTTGTTTTTAATATTATGCTGGGAATTTAATTTGTACATTTTTAACAACATATTCAGCAAGAAAATATATTAAAGAAGTTTGGTTAACAACTAGAATCATAATTCCTTCCACCCTCATCCAATTGCCTGAATATAATTTCTCAACAAACCAGATCTACATAACATTACCAATTTCCTGGCTTTGGTTGGACCCTAAAGCTTAAGTTAAGCCATTAAGTGTGGTTAAGGCGTATAATTGGTAAAGAAATATAATCTGCTCTAAGTTCAGAAGACTATTTAATGGATTTCAAATTTAAGTTCATACTTTCTAAATCATCAAAAGAAAAAGATAGAAAAAATTAGCTGAGATAAACAAAGATAAACAGGCTTAGAGAAATTAGAATTACAATTCTCTATATTTAATAGAATAATATTTTGATATATATATATAATAGAGGAGAACAATAAAAAAATATTATAAATAAAAATTATTCTTAATAATAAGAATATTCTACAATACTAAGAATAATAGGTTGTTACTATGAATATTAGATACATGCAATAATATTTATATGTCAATAAATAATTTCAATAAGTTTTATACAAATAAAAATTTTCATAATGTGGCCATTTGGCGTTGAAGCAGTGCCAACCAAACAAGCCTTACGGATGAAAAAGAAGGAAAAAGATTATTCCCCTTAGCTTGAAACAGTTACATCAAAATCACTAACAGTCCATTCAGCAATCTCCTCACCATCACCAACAAATATTTCGGTTCCAACATCAATTGATCTCCAAATTCTCTTAGCAGGACTGGTTCCTGGATCCTACAAAGCATATAAAAAGTTTTGAATTTAGTTATTAATAGAATCTGAACTGATATCACAAATAGCAGCAGAATCAATCACCTGATAGAAATAGAGTCTACTGGATAGGCCGCCGACATCAAGATCCCAAGTTCTTGGGTCGCCGACCCAGCCTTCGCCGGCTTTGGATGGATAGCCATAGGGTGCCCATGCTGGGTGAGGAAGTATCTGAACAATCTCCTGTGCATGTGGATTGCTATATGGATCACAGGTGCTATAAGGCTCTTCAAGTAATTGAGCATTGCCAGGTGAGCAATAGTAATGGTATGCAGTATAGGGGAAGTTAGCAGTGTTGTTTCTAAAAATTTTGTTGTTGTCATGAGTAATGTGGAATGGTGGGCAGGCATTGAGGTTGCTGGGGCTGCACCAAGCAGGTGTTTCAGGATTGATGATCATTTCGGAGTATCGTGTAACATCGGAGGTTAAATCCCCGTCGCATTTGGAACCATTGTTCTTCCAGCAGCTGCCAATGTCCATGAGGTAGAACTGGCTCTTGGGGCCTCCACCTTTTTTTATGTTGAGAGTGAGCCTTACTCTGAAGTTGGGTGATTCTGGGAGCTGGAGAGGAAGAGAGAAATTTGTTAGATTCTAAGTAGAGTCCTCGGAGCTAAGAGGGCTTGTGGGAATTGATTAATTGCAGATTCAGTTATAGCTTTGGATGATTCGAGATTTGTAGCTGAGTAATAGGTGATTGACAAATGCATTTTGGACGAGGGAGTCATTAATTACTTGTTACAATCTCTTGTACCTTCTTTAATTATAGTTTTCGATGATCTAAGGAACAAGACTATTAACAGGTGGCTCACAAGTTCTTTTTGTATGGATGTGTCATTTGTTTCTTGTTACAGCTCTTGGATCATTCACAGATGGTGCAGAGGCCTCTGAACTAAGAGTACTCAGGGCGAATACATTAATGCAACTTTGACAACTAAGTTACAGGAGTGAGGCAGCTCTTTACAGCTATTGGATCATCCAAAGTTACTGCTGAGATTTCAAGCAGAGGCTTTGGAATTGAAGGGAGTCGGGGAAATGCATTCAATGTCCTAATTAAAACGCAATAAATGTGTATATTTCAAAGAAAATTAAAAACATCTCATTAGATATTTTCACTCATTTCTAATATATATATATATAGCCAAACATATTTCCGTTAAAACAAAAAAAAAAAAAACAAAAACAAAAACCCAAAAAACAACGAAAGTTTCAACATTGTTTACCTTAACTATGACTTAAGCATTGTAGTATTTAAAAAAATATTCTACTTATAATTATAATATGAGAATTTAAATGAAATTCAAGCAAGAAGGAGGCGATCTATAACTCACAGTTTTCATCATGCCTCTTGTTTGATAATGATATCCACCAGAAAATCCTCTGGTTGCATCCGCCCTCAAATACAACATAAGCCACGGATACTTCTTTGAAGTTTTAATCTTATGACTAAAAACCCAGCTTCCCATTCCTCTCCGCTTCCTCCAAATCACCTCAAAATATGAAAAATCATAAATTCCATCTCCAAATTTTGCATCAAAATCATAACTTCCATAGAATCTTCCAACCATTTCTCCTCTCTCTGAAAGACTGGTCTGCTGATGAAAAACTACTGGCTGGTTCATACATCCCTTCCCAAAGCAAGGAAATCTCCTCCCATATTGAAGAAATGGCCCAACCTTCTTTCCATTCTGTGGGCAAAGTCCAGATTCAGTATCAAAGTTGCCATTTTTAAGCATGACCATCCAAAACTGCCAGGGATTTGGGTTCTCAGAGACCTGACAGAGAGAACCAAGATACAGTTCCTTCTCGACTGCATAAAGGTCTGGGTTCAGTAGAGCTGAAGCCCTCAGACCTGGGAATGGCTTCCCTACACCAAGCTTGTTGTCTTTCTCATCCACTCTGTGTTTCAAGGAATTTCCTGAGGAAAGAGAAGATTGTGAGATTTGGAGTAAGGAAAGTTTAGATTTTTCAAGTGTTATTACCAGAGATATCAAAGCAATCTGCAAGCCTTGGGCTGCCCATTCCTGGAGCTTCTGTGCCAACTTCATTGCAGAAGTTCCAGGCTTCCAATGCCACTCTGAGTTCGTCTCTCTTCATTCCAGGGTCGCCAATAATGGACGTTGATTTTAAAACATAGGAATGTGCTGATCTTTGAACAGGAAAGATAAGCAGGAGCGTTAGATGAAGTAAAGAGATGAGAGCTTCCATTGTGAGAGAGAGAGAGAAAGAAAGAGACCGAAAGTCAGGGAACAATAAATGAAAATGGTTACGACCTGTGACGACTTTTTCTTCATGGAGAAAGAATCTGAAGTTATTGTCCACTGTTGGGGTTATACGAAGAACAATGCTACTGTCGAATTCACTGTTCTTTTTATGAATTATTATTAGTAAATATGCTGTTAAAAATATTAAATATGTTTTTTCTCTCTCTATTTTTTAAAATTGCTCGGTATTCAAATCATTTTTTTTTATTAAGATAACTTTCAAAATTAGTACATTTTTTAAAGACAAGGGCACATTAGATTTTAAATAATATTTTATATAATTAATTTATCTTAAAGAAATTTTAAAAACTTTGAGATTCGTGATCTGTTTTTTTAATTTAAGGATTATAATTAGCATTACAATTTTCTTATATTAATATAAAGAGCAAAAAATTTCTGGGTCAAACTTTATTTGACATGTTCGATGCAAGGAATGGGGGCCCACCATCACTTTTTTCAATTCTACACAAGGACATATCCTTATCATCCCCATATCACGGGCATCAATAATACCGTTTTAATTCCCCAAAAAAAAATAATAATACCGTTTTAAATTATAATTATTTATTATTGAAAATTTTGATTAAGTATTTATTGTAATATTATTTTTATAAAATAATTTTAAAAATGTGATTAACATGAAAACCTGTTGCTAAAAGATAGTTTTAGCCATAATTTTAAAATAATTGTTAATTAAAATTTAATCACAACAAACTTGTGACAATAAGTAAAAATTGTAATTGTATGATTGAAGATTTGATAGCTACAAACATCCTCCTCCAAGCATTTGACGGACTTAAAACTACTTTCTTGAATGCAATATGCAAGGGCATTAAAAATTAGGTTAAAATGATAAAACTTAGATAGACCAAAGGGTAAGTTTTTGCCGGCATCAAGGAAATTATTTGGGGCTTGGCAAAACTAATTGTTATAGGAAAATTTGGAATTCGACAGTTCATATTATAACGCCGCAGTACGGTCTTGTCTATTGTGGTATATTGTTAAAGTGTAAACAGAAATAAATATAGTTGTATTTATTTGCTCTGCTTAGCTGGCATTTGTTGATTGGCCATTAGGATATTCTAATATCTATACAAACATGTAATCTGTACATTTCGGATAATGAATTTGATTATCTGTTTCCATCAACTCATCCCTTTCTCTTCTTCTTGATTCTGGTCATCTCGTTCTTTGTTTCTTCATAAGTTCATTCTTGAAATAAGTATAAATATTTCTTCTTCTTTTTGTGTGAGTGAGGGCCTTTTAATAGAGCATAGAAAAGAGACTATGAGAGACCAAAGAATAGTGAGATACATCATTTAGAGTGGTTGGTCAACATTATAGTGAACAGACAATCAATTGAAAAGGAAGGGAATGTGGATGGCGAAGTTGTAAGGGGACATTCACTTTGGGAAAAGCCAATCTGCAATATCTATTTTGAATTCTTCATTTCGGGTTATATTTTCTTCAGCTTCACTACTTGTTCTTTTTTCCTTGAGTAATAAATGTAACTTATTTTATTAAATTTAATTTCATTACCAGCTAAACACATAGTTTTGGACTAATGATGTGAATTTCCTATGTAATCACTACTCTTATGGTTTCAATTATGAATAATTATTTTCAATATCTATCGTTCTTCATTTAATTTAAAATTAACATCTAGTGTAATGTATTATCTCAACGAAAGAATGTTTAAACAAATAGAAGAATTGAAATAGAATGCTTGCATGCCTAGACATAGGAATTCTACTATTCTAGGATCTATGGATATAAAATAATTATAGGAATGTCATAAACCTTTATTTATTTTCCTACAAACTCAACAGAGATTTAGGGATGCATATGCTCTGATTCACAATTAATATAGGAGAGTCTACTTATGTGAACTTAAGTTATTTCACTATCATTAGTCTAAAATACTTTAACTAGTGATGTCTTAACTGTTTATGCATTTCTCGTTAGACATAGAAATAACTTTTTATTTCATTACATATAATAAATTAAGTAGACTGGTTAAATAGTTTTAGAAACATTTGTGAGTAGCATAATATTTCATCTTGGGATTGATACTCTCTCAAATACTTTATTACTTGATCGACACATGCACTTGTATTTTTATTGGGTTGTATATATTTTAATATAAACTAAACATAACATATCTCAATCCTAAAGTTTACAATTATGGCTCAAACCCTTCATTTGGGCTCATTCATGCTTGAATTGGACCATTTTTTATGTCGTTAATTTTGCAACCCAGGAGTCAAGGTTGAGCTTGTAATTTTGATGATAACAATATTAATTATTGTGATGATAATTTTATTGGTTCTCCTAACATATCTTGAATATTTTTGTTTTCTTGTTTCTATGTGTACTAATATTTCAGAAAAATCATACTCCAAATTGCTGAAGACATCAAGATAGGGTAGAATAGAATTTAATGTAATAGAGTCTGCATATCTCTATTTTTATTTCTTGAGTTTGAACAACTATGAATGTAATTGAGTAATCATGCACACACACATAGGGGGAGAGAGTTACAACTTAAAATTTTTAAAACTAATCATATTGTCTGATATTTAACCATATTGTACAATTTGACTTAGTTTTTCTTCCAAATGCAGTCAATAAAATCATGGATTGTAGTATTTGAACTAGTAGTACAGTGCGATACTAGATCGTACAAATGACTAACAGAGTATGAAATCAGATTCATACTAGATCGTATCGAACGAACACATTCAATTTTTGAATTATTCGTACAATACGATCTTAATTTATATATACGAATGATTATGAAATCAGGTTCATACTAGATTGTATCGAATGAACATATTCAGCTTTTGAACTGTTCATACAATACGATCTTAATTAGTCAGTTGACTGATATAGTATGAAATTCCTTTTATACTATATCATAGTAGATAAATTTGTTCTTTTTTTAATAGTTCATATATTACGAAGTTCAATCATACAGACGACTGACAATGTTGAAATTATGTTAGTCTCAATTCGTACCAAATAAAACCCTAATTTTTAAACTATTCATATCGTGCGATCTCTGATTGTATCGTATGATTGGATGACAGTTCACTTAATTTTTTTAGTTTTTGGATGGTTTTTAATCTCTTTTCTACATAAAGAGGTCTAGAAATTAACTTAGAACCTTTGTTGTGAATGTTTCTTGAGAGTGGTCATTGAGTGTGAGTGTTTTGGAGAGATTGTGATAGTGAAGTATGAAAGATCAAGTGAGAGGAAGTGGTGAGGGGTTAACAAGGTTGCCAAAAGCGAGGATCTCTTTTTTTTCTTTAAGTTTTTGTCCAACTCATCTAGAGGCTTTTGAGAGAAGATTTACAACATTATGTCAAGGTTTTCTTCCTTCACTAGGAGGATGAAAAAGGACGATAGTACTCTACCTTCACTAGGAGGGTGAAAAAGGACAATCTTGTTGAAACTTGTTCAATATGAATCAGGTTGTTAAACCTAAGCTTATGTCCCAGCGGCTAACCAAGAGGGGGGGGGGGGGAATTGGTAATTAAAAATTTTATCCTCTTTTAAACTTTAAAATTGAGAATTTTAACTTTAGTGAATTTTATAGAAAAAGATTTTTCAACCACAAGTTAGAAACAGTAAAATAAAAATAAAAGTAGCGAAAAAATAAAAGATACAAGATTTATAGTGCTTCGGTCAAACACGACCTACATCCACTCCCCAGAGGCACCCTCCGAGTATTGCACTAATACCACTAGTGACTCTCCTTTTGCACCCACAACAAGGTGGAGAAGCCTTTACAAAACTCTCTTCCACCACTACCCGATGCGGCAGAGAACCGTCATCCTTTTACACTCTTCTCAGTGTTGGCAGAGAACCCTTCATCCTTTCACACTCTCCTAGTGTGGGCAAAGAACCCTTCGTCCTTTCACACTCTCCTAGTGTGGGCAGAGAACCCTTCTTCCTTTCACACACTCCTAGTGTGGGCAGAGAACCCTTCGTCTGTTCATACTCTCCAAATGTCGGCAGAGAACCGGATCTCCTTGACATATCTTTTTCACAAGAAATCTAGAAGGAAGAGAGAAAAGAGTGAATTAATCAAAAATCACAAGTTGAGACTCTTACCTTTGAGTACCAAGTGAAACCTTCATGCTCCAGTAGTAAGAATCCTCCTTCAAACACTCTCTCACACTCTCTCCTTGACTTTCCTTTCAGTAGGCACGAAGATCAGTAGTCAAAAAGAATAAGTGGCAATTTATATTGGACTTTATATAGGAAAGACACAAAAAACCGTCCAAAAACTGCTAAAATTCAAGTCTGTCAGCAGTGGATCGTCCTGTATGATCGTGGATCATCCCGTACGATCGTAGATCATCCCAGATGATGTTACTTAATTCAGTTGGAAATGAACCCAATATATATTAGTACGAACTGACTTCGTACATGTTAATCGTCCCGTACAAACAAGGTTCATCTAGTATGAACGGTTATACCATAGGTCGGTTCCAAAAACTGCATGAAGTTTCCAAATTTTTAAGAGTCGGTGCGCTTCGTCTTGGGACGAATATGAGTTTGTCCGGACAAAATTTTTACAGAGGACATTTCGTCCTAGCACGAATATGGATTTCATCTGAACGAAAATTTTCCAGAGGACATTTCATCCTGGGATGAATTGGAGTTCGTCTGGACGAAAATTTTTCAGAGAGTATTTTGTCCTAGGACGAATTGGAGTTCATTTGGACAAAAATTTTCCAGAGAGCATTTCGTCCTGGGACAAATTTGAGTTCGTCTGGACAAAAATTTTTCAAAGAGCATTTTGTCCTGGCACGAATATGAATTTCGTCTGGACGAAAATTTTCTAGAGAGCATTTCGTCTTGGGACGAATTGGAGTTCATCTGGACGAAAATTTTCCAGAGAGCATTTCATCCTGGGACGAATTGGAGTTAGTTTGGACAAAAATTTTCCAGAGAGCATTTTATCCTGGCACGAATATGAATTTCGTCTGGACAAAAATTTTCCAGAGCCCA